ATTTGTTGAATAAACTTCTTCGACCCGGGCGTCTTTGCGTATAGGCTCTCGCAAGCTTTCGAAGCCTTAACAAGAAGGAGATGTCGAGGTTCCTTGAGGAAAGTCGATTGGTGAAGGATCGGCAGGTGTTGCAGGAATATGGTGAGGAACGACGTTACTAGGAACAGATGTGGTCAAATGGATCCTTTGATGTAAGAGATGCACGGAAGACATACTGTAACTATAATACTCCGAGATCGAGGGCATGCCACCCCATAGTAAGACCGTGGTCACCAGTAGAAGTCGACTCCATGATTTCAGTTTCGGGAATGTGTTCCATCGGATCTGGGGTGGCCCCCATTGTTGCAGGCAGCGAGTATATACCGAGCTGTGTCGGACCACTGGTAGTTTGGGTGATAATATCGAACATCTCGGATCGAGCATGGTAGACTCCATGCGGTCGGTGAGCAACATCGTAGGATCCTGCATGAAGTGCTGTCCGGGGATGGAGGGATGCTTCTCGAAGCTGGACGTGAACAGGTCGGTGAAAAAGACCGTCGTACATCTGGGTGGAGGAGAAAACGTCGCTGTAGGCGCGCTCGTCCTCGCTGGTTCCGTCAGTCGTGGCCAGCGCAGTGTTGCTCGAACCCGCGAAGCGCGAGAGCGCCGGATGAAGACGCGGCTGTTTGGGAAGCGGACGCCGGCAGCGAGAGGCGTCAAGAGTGCCAAAGCCGGTCATCGACGCCGCGAAATTGTCGAGCAGTGTGGCAGGCATCGCGAAGTCTGCGATCGGCGAGGTTTTGGTGCTGGCCGCGCCCTGGCCCGAACCAGAAGCTTCTGGCGAGTCCTGCGAGGAGGAGCTTCCGGAAGAGGCGCCTTCGGCGTCTGCCGGGGCCTTGTTCCCTCGGCGGTCTGCCGAGGTGTATCGCACTCGCGGCCGCGGGCCTTGCACTTGGCGCACGGCTGCTCGAGATCGCAGCGCACTTTGGACTCCGCGCAGCTCTTGCATGACTTCCTGCGGGACCGATTGACAGATCTGCGAGTCATCAGCAACGGCGCTCGGAGAAGCATGTGGGGCTACCTACGACTCGCAACACGTCCGTTTGTGCCTCGTCAAGAGGTCGCTCCGCGTGAACTGGGCGTGGCAGCGCTGCAGAAGAAAACCACAGGAGCCAAGTGTGGCGAGGGAGACGAGTGAGCTTTCATGGGCATCCGGGCCGGGAGCAGTGGCGGACATACTTCGCACTCATACATACGCTCATTCGAATCTGTGAATATGATGCATCGTTAGCACTTGACGAAGATGATCAGCGAGCAGAGCGAGGCCTACGCGTCTTCATGTGACGATTGAGATGGGTGGTACGAGTAAACTTGGCAGGGCACAGGGGACACAGCTTGGTCTGAGGGAGAGTGGGGATGTTTCCCTGTGCGAGCGCATCTTGGACATCGAGCCTGTGCGGGTCACAGACGCCGCGGGGCCGCGGTGGACGCAGCAGCATCCAGAGGGGCTCGTTTGTGGGTTCAGCTGTCGGTGCCGGCTGAGAGGCGTCGGTAGACATGGTGGTGGCTTGCGGAGAACGTAGTGGGTTGGATTGATTAGCCGACGCCGAATTTAAAGACGGCGCGGCCGGCCTGCCTCCTTTGGTAGAGCGCCCACCCATCAGACCCATCGCCGACGAGTACGGCGTACGCGTCTCAACTCGAGGCCAGTCGACGGAACCTATTAGTCCCACCCTCTGGTTCCCAAATCTACAAATCTTCACAGCTCAGTTGGACTCACGCACAGCCCAAGTGAGCCACTGCCTACGGTTTGTAAGCCGCGCTGGCTCGACACGGCCCAGTCCGTACAGATCCCAGTCTCATTTAGGCGCTGGCGATCTAATGTTGCGTTCTCGGCAAGATGCTGACTAGTTCACCTGTACCTCACGTTATCACAATCAATTGATCTGTGATCACCCCCCCGGGGTGATTCCCTTTCCGGTAACTGCGAACGGCTCTAAGCCTGCAAACCGTAGAGCCTCTACGGAAAACGATCAAGATACCTTGTTGGGAAACATTAGAACGGGGCGCATGCCCAAGTCCCCCGCCCCCCTTCCCCGACGTCCCCGAGGGCCCGGCCCAGCCCTCCTCCGCGCTTCTCCGATGCACGTGAACGGATCCCGCGCCGTGCCCCCTGATGGCCGCCTGGTCACCGCCTTCCGCCGTGCCGCCCGCCTTTGATGGCCGCCCTCTCCCCCCTGCTCGCCGTCCCCGACGACGAGCTCGCTGTTCGCGCTCTCCCTCCTGTTCCCCTCCCCCGATTCACGCCGTTCTTTTTTGTATGTACTTGTATTACTAATGCGCATCTATATACATAACTCGCCCTTCTGAGCCGTGCTCTGTGATGCCTCCACCGCCCACTGCCCCCGCCACTGCCCGCCGCCCCCGCATATGGGGAGGGCGGGACCTTATGTCAGCATACTCAACGCCTGGGCGGCGGGCAGAACTCTGATGGCGCGGGCGCCGCGTGGACAGGCACCGCGGCAACGGTTGATGCAGCGCGCGAGGCCCGCGCCATCAGCGCGAGGTCCGCGCCATCAGCGCGAGGCTGCCGGCGCCGGCGCCTCAGACTCAACGCCTCCTTTTGATGGCAGTCAAGGCCATCGAGAAAAAGGACTTTCCTCCGATGCTGCCTCACATTGAGATGTCAAACCAAAGGATGTATATCATGAAGACCTTACCAACACCTGCAGGGAGTGCTGTATACTAGTAGACACAGTGTACCAGCAGCTTCTATGTCTGCCATCAAAGCTCTTTTGATGGTGCTATATTTCAGGCATGATGATGGGAACGAGTCGGCACACATGTTCATTGACATCGATACAGTGTACGTGTATCCACTAAGACATACGACATGAGATTGTACATAGAGTATCATAGAGACCCCGCCACTCAAGCCGTGTTCTCATTCTGGCCGGCCTGGGCAGCCCGGCGCGCAAGAGTCCGAGCATTGGGACCCCTCGGGATACCCTTATCCTTGCGGGGCTTACGGGGCACCTTCTGCGGGAGGAGCGCGCTCTGAACGCCACCCGCGACATGGTTAAAAGGGTCGGGGACGGCGCCGAGGGGTTCGGCGGTGGGCATGCCAGGTAGAGGAGGCGCCGAGGGCATGGGCGTTGGCGTGGCCTGGAAAACGAAGGTGAACGCGGTCCCAGCAGAGAATGTGGGCGTGGGTGAGGGCAGCGTGGGCGTAGCGGAAGACGCAGGCGGAGTGGAAGACGCGGGCACGGGTAAGGGCGGCGCAGGCGTAGCGGAAGACACGGGCACGGGTGAGGGTGGCGCGGGCGTAGCAGAAGACGCGGACGCAGGCAAGGGCGACGAGGGCGTGGGTGCGGGTGACGAGGGCGTGGACAGGGGCGACAAGGGCGCGGGCGTGGGCAATGAGAGTGTGGGTATGGGCGACGAGGGTGCGGGCGCGGGCGACGAGAGCGTGGGTGTGGGCGTGGGTGCAGGGGACGAGGGCGCGGTGAAGGTGGGGGACGACGCGGGCATGGTGGAGGACGATGCGGACGACGCGGGCGCGGGTGTGGGCGTGGGCGCAGGTGTCGGAGTGGCCGCACGCGAAGACATCGTGGGCTCGGGGTTGGAAACTGGCCGCTGGAGGGAGGCGATAGTGTCTGCATTGAATGTCACAGCGACTGGGTTCAGACCAGCGTCATAAGCCTGACGCCAGGCCGCGAGCTCCTCTTTGGTGAGTGACCGGAAGCGTGCGATGTCGTTCTCCCAGGCTGAGCGAAGCGTGTTGAGGAATTTGAGGGAGTTGAAACGGCCGGGGGCCTGGAATGACTCCAGCGGCCAGTTCTCGAGGACGACGCCAAGCTTGTAGGTAATTCTTTTGGGGAAGTCGCTGTACGACATTGCAGAGGGTTTCCCCCGGGTCGACGTCGACTCTAAGTACACCAGTTAGCGAGTGAAAAACACGAGAGGGCAGGGACTTACGAAGCTTCTCCAGGATTAGAGCACCGACCTTGGACTTGAGCTCCAGGACGGTATTCTTGTGCTTCTTCGTCAACCCTGCATAACCACACCACAATAAGCACTTGAAGAAGCCACCGTGTGTTGTATGTACGTACCATTAAGTCCCGTGAGGCACCATGCTTCAATGCGCGAGGACAGAGTGCCCAACGTCGCGCCAGTGAGCAGCTCAATAAACTCCTCGATGCGCGCGCTGGTCCGGTAGACCCAGGGCTTGAGGTAGTTGGCTCGCTCGCCACGGCACGCGATGAGCAGAACCTCCGCGCCAGTGCGCTCGTGGAGATCATCGAGCTGCAGCGCGGGTGGCCATAAGCGAGGAGGACATGGGGGTAGGAGGGAACTGGGCGACGCACCTCTTGGACGACCCTTATCAAGGTTGCGCGCGCATCATTGAAGTTTGCGATGGGGAGGTTGGGGACAGCGCGCCCACGCTCCTCACGCCGCTCAGTCAATTCTTCGACCGTATCGCGGCACATGTCTTCCCGGTCTTGCTCCGACATCGTGTGCCAGCGTTCGGCGAGGTTCTTGATGAACTCAGACGACACAACGTCGTTCGTGTTCATTTCTGACAGGTGCGCGTTATTTATGAAACAACGGTGACAATGCATAACATACCTTTGTTGTGCCGGCGAAGCTCCTTGCTGACGAACGCATTCCAAAGCGACAGCGCTCGCGGCTCCTTGAAACGGGAGTTGCTCTGATGAAGAATGAGTCGGTAGTACCATGCCGCGCTGTGCTTACCCAGCTCCTCGTGGAGCGCGACGGCGTGGTCCCAAACCTCATCGCGGATAGTGTCAAGCCGGTCGCTGAGCGCGCTCTTGTAGAGCCGAGACTTCTCACGAATTGCTTTCTTCTCCGCATAAGAAAGCTTCGGGCGTGTTCGTCGGTGCGAGGACCATGGTGTTTTGACGCGTCGCTTTCCCATCTTGCGCGCACCCTTAGGTAACTTCTCGATGCCGCTATGGTTGTTTGACGGGGGGGCGTCTGCTCTGGCGCGTGCCATGCCGGCAGCGGGAAGGGGGAAGCGCAGGGAGGGCGGGAATAGAAGCGGGGGTGTGGGAGCGAAGAGGCTGGTTGCTGGGAGAGACCCAGGGCGGAGTGAGAAAAACACCGCCCGAGTGTGTTGACTGGAACACGTGATGGAGTTAGCAAAAAATGTTGATCCATTGGTTACTCATCGTTATCGGATGGATACATGATGGCGTCATACAGACGCTCTAGCCGTAGCCCATCCCAGCCGTTGTACTTGGAGCCGTCGTACGCGAACTCCTTGCGCGAGGACGCACCAGCAAAAACCTGTAGCATGATCATGAGCTCGGAGCTGTCCGGGTTGAGCTCCACGAGAATCCGCTCAGCCCTTGGGCCGAGGTCGACAGGGAACGGACGGTCCCCCCCAATGGCTTCCTCAGGGGGAATGAAGAGCGTGCGGATAGCCGCGGCGAGCGTACTGAGGCCCTGGATGTCGCTGTGGTCGCGCGCGGGTGGCGCGACGTCATCCCGAATGCTCGCACCCTGCGTGAAAGCTATGGCTTATCAGTCGACGTCAGGACAGAGAGCGAAAAGTCCTACCGTGCGCGAGCGCGTCTTCTGACAGAGGCGTCTGCTCGCGCTGCTTACCGCGCGATGGGGTGGGAGTCGACCAGGAGCTTCGCGACGACACCGTGAGGGTGCCAGGGTGCCGGGCGCGACCACGTACAGGGGTGCGGGGGACCGAGAGCGTTGAGCGGAGCGGGGCCGGGATCGGCTTTTCGGCGTCGAAGTTGAGGGGGAAGTTATGGCCATGCTTCGCCATCACGTACGCGATGGCGTTCGCCACGGAGAGGCCCTTCGTGTCGAACCGCATGCACCGTCCCTTGCGTTGGACATTCGGGTCGCCGTCTCCGATTTGAAGGCCAACGTGGATCCTAATGATAAGCTCAATACACCAAATGTATTTGTATATGCCAAGACTTACCAAGAGAGCCCGACAAAAACCCCTGTGTGACGACCAGCGAGGGCGACACGGATACCGTAAATCGAGGACTTGTTGCGTATGAGGACCTGAGCCTCCTGCACACGCCACGCCGCCAGATGCACGTCGTTGGCCGGGGTTATGCGGAAGACGGAGTCGTTAAGACCATCGATCGCCTCCGCGTCGTGCCGGTCCATGCAGCAGACGACAATGGGGTAGATGTTGGGATCATTGCCGATCCCAACAGGTGGCCTGTACAGCGTGGGTGAGCGGATGACAGCTGTGAGAGCGCTTTCGATTGAAGAACTCACCGGGTATTCATGATGCGTGGCGTCAACTGTGCGTGTGCACTCGGGCCCAGTAGGACATACCATGGGCCGTGAAAGGGGGCCTGATCTGAGTTTGATGTGTTGTGCATGCGTGGCAGAGGCAGCGAAGAGAAGAAGAAGCGAAGGGGAGGGGACAATCGATGGCAGGAAGCAAGATATGACAGACTAGCGCCCACGCTTCCCAGCTGTGATCTCACGCGAAGTTGGTCTTCGGATGCCATACAGCATTCCCTCGACATCCGAGCAGAAAACTAATACTTGACAT